AAGATTGCTATATAACCTTCACAGATTTCACCAAAGCTATTGACATTATGAGCAGGAAAAGTCTATGGCAAATCTTGGAACGATTAGAATGTCCTCTCAAGTTCCTGAAAATAATCATGCTATTACATGAGAATCAACGCTGCCAAGTCAGATATAGCGATACCCTCTCAAAGTCCTTCCTAGTAATCAATAGGATGAAATAAAGTTCTGTTCTTTCATCAACTCTGTTCACAATTTACTTCAGCATGAAAAAGGCCACGACAGTCCCCGATGTAAATACCATTCACGTTTACATCCGATATCGTATCGACGGAAGCCTATCCAAACTAAAGCGATTGAAAGCCTACACTTGTCGCTGATTTTCTTTAACCGTCACAAAAACTGATGGTTCTTTCTGCCTCTTTAGTTGATAGTACCCCAAACATGGGTAATTAAACCTTTTATTACGATAAATTTATTAATACAATAACGAACTTAGCAATTATGATATCGAGACAACAAATTGATGACGAAACCACTAAAAACAAAGAAGACAAAATCACGCCCAATACCTTATATCTAAACGACCTCAATGAAACACAGTTGTAAAAATGGATTGGTGCTCAGGACCTTCCTCTTCTTCGAGCGGGAGGGTCCTTGTACCGTTTTATGATTACGAGAATTAGCTTCCTTATGGAGCACCCATTGGTATAGGGTTCTTTGTTAGCGCAAACGTAAGACGATATGAGCATGTAAAACAAAGATGTCTGGCTTTCGAAAAGGAAGATTATCCCTTTGTTTCTACTCGCGATATCAGCGACAATGCTAAAACTCTAGCTTACCTAAGAGATCACTTTTTGCGGAGGATTCCACCCTCGTCGTTCAACTCTGCAGTGCTTAACATCTTGCATTGCGAGGATTGCCGAGCTTTTTGGGTTTAGAAGTTTGAAGAAGATAGAAGTTCTCTACCAACCTGTACCGCAGGAAGAGTACCTTCGCCCTCACATCACCATAAGCGAATCAGGAATTAAGCCGTTCAGCAGAGCAGTATCATTTATTCTACTTCAAGATCGAAAACAGCTTAGCAAAGACATATAGACTTTCGGTAAAGTTCATAAAAGAGGTCGGTGCTATAAATATTTGAAGAGAAGTACAAAAGGTTGGGGTCTATGGAACCAATGTACTGTCTATTCTTTTATATGGATTCAAATCACGAGTCCGCGATCCCTCAAACGCTTCCCATCAACGCTGCCGCCTTTCAATCCTAAATATCCCCTGGTCTGACCACATGACTAATGTTACTATCCTTACACAAGCAGGAGTCACCCGTATTGAGGCCATACTACTCAGGACTCAGCTGCGCTAGACTAGGCACTGTTCCAGGATAAGGGATAACCGACTTCCTACGGTTGCACTGTATGATTAAACTGGCCGCGGATTCCATAAAAGAAGCCACAGAGAGGGGATGCAAGGACGCCCTAAAACAATGTTCTAGCTTTGACCATATAGACTACCATCAATAGTTCACTCCGGTCTCGAATCGGGGACATGGAGACACATTATCCATAACGATGCTACTTCCTTTGAGAATACACGCAGAATGAGCCATGAGGACAGAAAATAACGCAGAAAAAAAAAATCGTTCCTTGTCAACACCGCCTAAGAAGGCTTTCTTTCCGCTGTGCTTTGTACAAGCAAAACTTGTCTATTCTGCACAGGCTTTCTTAGATATCAACGCCTGCAGCAAGCATGGGTATAATAACCTTTTACATATTTCCGTTCCCAAGACTTACCATACAGCAGTTAGTCTAGATAACTGCAAATATCGTCCCAAATATTGACACCAAATGAGCGACCGGTAATACTTGATCATTGTAGAATTTATATCATGAATTATTTAAACAAACCTGAATGAGATTATCATCGGAATATCGAATGCATAGAACGGTTTGACGGACGGTGTAGAGTCTTTTTGCTTTTCATTTTTGTATTTTCTGTGAGAAGTTGGTTAAGCAAACTTCACCTACATCATACAGGAAAAACTGAATCAAAAAATAGCAGAATGCGAAAGTTGAGTGTTCACTTCATTGATTGAAGTGATGATTTCTTCCATTGTTACTGCATAATGAAATCCTTGGGAAAGGTCAAAGGTCACGGATTTTATGAGGTTATTGGATAACTGCTTCTCCCTGATTGCTTTCGCAAATACTGTCATCTGAATGTGAGAAGACAAGTGATGTCTCTTAAATATTTCTGATTTGTTTCTAACAAATACATTTTAATTTTGGTTTAATTTCTTGGTATTAAACAACTCAGTTTGGCGACTTCAGTCTAATAATCCAAAAAAAGTAAAGGTTATTCATAGTGAGCATTCGTGTGCAATGTTAGAAAAGAACTTCAAGTTTTATTGGAAGGAATTTCTTTCAATTTTTTTTGATGTATGACTTAGTACTGTTACTACTACTATTACTACTACTTCCAATTTATTGTCATTGATGCCATATTCGGATTTAAAAAAAAAAAAAAAGGGAATTCAGGGAAAGATATAGACAATGTTACGATTTCTGAATCTGATAATTCTATTAGTTATTTTGCTGGAAGAAATAATTCCATCACATCAGCTTGCTTTATTTGATGGGAAGTTGGATATTGGACAGTTGAAGGACGATCGATTGCTACGTTTATATGAAAGCATTGAACAACAAGGCAATGTTTTTTGTTTATTTTTCAAGATAAAAAAGAAATGTATAAACTGCATAGAAAACTATAGAATCTGAGAAATTTCTGGAATAATTAAATTTGGAATAAATTTGAAATAATGAGAAAGGAGTGAAAATTTACCAGTATTTCGTTTGGTTTTATAAATAGGTTGAAATTTACAAACTTTTGGTTGAAATAAAAATTAGAAAGATTTTTTTTCTTCCATTACAGATGAACATCCTTCATGTCAGCAGAATTGTACTGAACTGAATCCGGATGCCGTACTTCAAAAGTGTCCAGTGTTACAACGTGGCCTTACATGCGGCAAATATAAAGTATACCATTATCGTCGTCATTGTTTAACTGCAACAGTTTATTGCCGACGAAATATGACGAACATTAATGAAGTTGCTGTATATGTTGCTGTTACTGGCACTGATTTGAATGCTAAGTAAGTTATAAAAATATAAAAATTTAAGTGAGATGAATTAATGAGATGAATTAATAATGCACTGCGGATCGCTTTTGAATTTTTTTAACTTTGTTTTATTTCAGCAAAAAAATGAAAATATTTAAATGACAATAAAAGAAAGTGTAAATTAATGAGAAGCAAGTAAGAAAAGGAAGAATTTGATGAACGAAAAAAGGAGAATATTGAATTAAATATTAAGCAATTTAAAATAATTTAATTTCAGCAAAACTGGTTTATTTGTGCTACCGTATATCGATAAAAAGGAGATTTCTGTACCACAAATAGTTGTTGAAAAAGCTTACCAAGGAAATGGTAATATGGGTGAACTTGTTTGTGATTCAAGTGGTAATTGGATCTTATATGATACAAATTATCAGTATATGGTTGAACATCTGTTTTGTTTAGTTGTCGAAGCAAGAAATTTGAATTATTTGTTGGATTTACGTCGTCCTGAATTTGATCGTATAACTACATTAATACCATATCGTCGCCGTGATCCCGAGTTTTTCAATCAGCCGTAATTAAATAAATGGTTAAGTTTAAAAAGAAAAAGTAGCAGAATTTTGGGACATTTAAATACGAATAGTATGATAATTTCTCGATAATAACGCATAAATATGTATGTAGCAATATTTGAATGAATTTCGCAGATTTCCAAACTTCACACTTTTTATATCCTCTCGAACATCAAATATGCAAATCACTTTCAGGAACATATTTAGCTTACGCTGTTTTCCATTAGTTTGTTCCATTGAAATCATTTCAGTTTACAAGCTAAACCAATTTGAATGGAAATGATAACTCATATCTCCGATTTAATTCGAATTTCTTGCTGAGTTTTCTTCTTTTTCTTTTCTTTTCTTTTTTTTTTTTCAAATGGTAGAAATTCGGATAAGGACAATAGTCAAGTCAATCATGGATCATTGACTATTCTTTAACAATTGCATATTTCATGCATCATTTGTTGTTCGTTATTTATTGCTGTATTGAATGTATGTATTAACAATTAACGTTTTTTCCAAATATTTTTCCAATCATCGAATAAATGTTCTAAAAAAAGAATAACTTATAATATTTTTAAAGTTTCTTGTCATGAAAAGATGTTTTTAGCAGTATTTAATCTTTAAAAGCGTTCTTCTAAAATATCCTTTATAAACTGATATCTCGGAAGATCTAAAGCAACCTCATAACTTTTTATTATTAATGACCTGCTGTGCACTGTTTTGTCGTGCTACTCAAGCAAATTATCCTGGAAATGGATTTTAATAGTTTCTGTTGTCTATTCTAAATATACTGGTGTGGATAACATTAATTATGATAAAAAGCAGTCAAATATGTTTTTGGTGCTGTTTTTCCAAAGCAGCATAATTCTGCAGTACTTTAACCAATTAATCCATAATTCCATAGAACCTTTCAAATTTACATATTTCAGCCTTTGTTTTGATGTATTTTCTTCGCATATATCAGCTAATGACGAACTATATATCTACAGGCATAATGTTGCTGGAATTAACGGATCGTAATTTTAGCAGATTCATTCCCATGAATATATCTCACCTTTCAGTTATACTTCTTCATTATAATTTGTGTAAGTTTTGTTGTACTTGAGAACAAATAAAAAAAAACTGAATTATATATAAATTCAGTTTACCAATTAAAATTTAATTATTTCCAGGATGACTAAACTTTCAAACCTTTACACAACAACTGGTGTGATCTAGATTCGTTTAAATGAAATGATTTTTTATTTAAAGTAAAAAAAGTGTTTTAATCAAAGGGATCTTATAACAGATCACATCAGCCTACATTTTTTCTCAAGTGAAGTCTTAGATTTGAAATATGTAGTTTAGATATCATTAATATTTGATTGACACAATCATTAAGAATGTTTCATGCTTATTCAAAGCAACATATCTTTAAAATAATGTATAATCGATGTAATGATTGGCATACAGACTGTGGAATACCATCTCCTAGCTATTCCGTTTAGTCCAAAGATTTCACGATCTGCAAAATAAAGATCTAATAAGCTATCATGTTTAACATATGCGCAAAATTTTGTCAAAGCTTATGCGATATTTTATTATGCACTATCATCAAGAGACTCGTAAAAATGAATAGTTGGTGCGGAATTTTGACAGAAATTTCATCATATTAGGTAAATCATTTCGTATTAGGTTGAAATAACAAGCAATCAGCTAACTGATAATTTTCTCTACCATATTACCACAATCATCCTGGATGCTTCCTTCTATCATGTTAATCATTTCACCGAATATAAGCTTCAACTAACTTTCTTACATACTGCACAACCTTTCGTGTAACAGGAATCTGTATACCAGAACATACTATCTCCAGTCATATAAGCACAGTAGTGGGTACCAAGCGGAAAGCCGGGAAAAAAATTTTTGAAATCTACGACACTTCCATCCAACCATTCAAATCGATTACTCGTTTGTCCACGCAAACCGATGAAAACTCTTTCACAGCTGGCTAATCCTGAAAAAACATTCATTGATGAGAACATTCATTTATTTCATGTAAATATTTATTTTCAAAAAATTGCAAGTTTTCACGATCAGAAATGTTGTCAATTAATTTCATAAGCACAATGCACTCCGTGCCATAACCTCTATCTTGCTCATTCCACAGTACGATACAATATGGTGATGATGAAATTCTGATGTTTTCTTAATACGGTATATCTTTGAAATTCCACTGACAAATCATTGAAACGTTAAAATTAGCAACATTTACCCTCATTCGGATATAACAACATTAATAGTCATTCATCTTAAACGCGTCAATAATAACATTATCAGTGTTTACGTGAAATGATAATTTTGTTAACAAGTTAAAAATCAATTCATGAAGAAGCAACAATTAGAAATATTTGTGAATCACCGCAATATGAATAATTTTGTTTTAGTATGAATAGAATATGAATTTCAAAACTGTGAGGTTCTCACCATATACAAATGTATTTTCTGCTTCAGAATGTATTGAGACCAAATGCGCATCTTCCTCGGCACACATTCGTTCATATTTCACTGCACTTATATTTTCGCTTTGAGAAATCGCATTGATAAACTACAATGAAGATTAATTAGTATGAAATATAATAATAAATTAAACAGAATAAAGAAGTGAAGAAATCCTTATAGGTAAATATCATAATGATTCTTTTTAGAAAATTTAATGCTTGATTTAATGAGTGCTAATTTTGAATTTAAATGTGCTCTTGAAAATATAATTTATATAAAAGTTTACATTAAGGGAAAAGGGAAGATTCGCGAAAACTAACTTTATAATGAGCATTTGTTTCTTTGTTGTAAATCCAACCTGGATATTGCATATCTGTAAAAATTAAATGTGTTCATGAAAAAATAAAAATCATCTTTTACATGTTCCAGTAAATCATGAATGATGAAGAAATATCTCCAAAAAAGTTATCGCTAAAAAGAGTTTCCACTTGAATAAAATATGGGATGATCGAAAAGGTTACTGAAAACATAAGAGTGAATCATTCTTTGGAAGAATCATTCTTTTCATCTTCTCCCCTTTTTTTTTCACTCTATCCCTTAAATCATCATTATGATTATTGCACAACGGAAAGAAAGAAAAATATAACTGAAGTAAAAACTAAACTAACCAACAGTGCACAAATTACATGTACGCTTGCATTTTTTCACCATAAGTTCATGATAATCTGATAGTTCACAAAGATTTTGAAGCATGGAGCATAACAAATAGTTATTATCCGTGCATCCACCATGCCTACATAGGCCACAACTACTAGCACATTCTACTGCTAGGATTGCTTTAAATGTCACATCTGTCGTAGTGCAATGACCTTTTTCTGCTATCATACGACAGTTCAGCTCAGAATCTGCAAAGATAAAAATAATGTTGAAATACTTTTTAAAAATAAAATAATAATGAAATACTTTTTGAAAATTTTTTTAAATATATAGTATTGAGAGAGGGAGAAGTCAAACTACCAGGTTAGACAGGAAATCTTAGCATATGATAGTACTGTATAAAATTTCCAACGAACTATTACATGATAACGAAACATATCTTTCTTATCTGTACACATGAAATCTGGATGTTGACAGCAACTGCGACATTGTTTTCGGCATTCTTCCACTCCATGCGCTTTGCTGTTTGAACAATGTGCATTTATTATTGGACTAAAAAAAAATTTAAATAATACCTTTAGCAAATTATAAAAGCTACCTTATACAAATATTTTGCATTTATTACTCGATAAAATCAAAAATAAAACCAACAAAGCTTCGTTGACCGGAAATGCTTTCTGGCAAATCATATCGCTTTGCTCATTGGAACATTTTGTTGCAGAGAATTCATCCGAACATGGTGACGTTGTTGCTTGAATTGTCGACAAAAAGAAAAAATAAACTAATCCGTATAGCATTTTGCTGGTTTATTTATGAAAATCCTATAAATTATAAGAAGAAAGACATATTCCCTCTTAAGATCAATTGACAACATATGAATATAATTCGTTAATTAATGCTATTAATCAGTCTGTAATTAAAGATACTTATGGTAAATCTCAAAGGAACTCACTTGATATAGCAGTAATGTATGACTGAATTGACTTTGTTTGCAATAATACCATTGCCGAATAGATTCAAGAAAGAAAAACAAAAAAAAGAACCGTCGAACTCATAAATGTGATGCCAAAATAGGACATTGAACCCAATGATATTATTCTCCAACATTCAATTCGATATTTCAGTTTTGCTGCAATTTTTCAATTTAAACAATTCTTGATTTGTTTTCATAATGACGGTAATAACAGCTGTAACGGCGATGATGACGTTAATGATACGTTAATGCTAATAACAATAACGCATCCATCGTCAATCATTAACCACACTTATCATGATTATTACCGTGATTATTATTGATATCATAATTCATGTACTGTTTGCTTAGAAGATATTCCAAGTGGACCATACTAGTTGCATAATGATGCATAAACATTTTAGATAGTGCGCTATTAAAAACAGACTCAATAGAGAGTAAAAGTTCCTTTTTTTGGTCATTTTCTTCCGGTTCAACTTGATGCGAGTAAAAGTGCTGTCACGAAATCCAAGTGATTATCAGCGAGAGACGAAGAATGATATTTACAAAGGTGAACATATTGCTTACTTCGCCTGATTTCATTCGCCAGATTTACAGTTGATGGATCCGGTTATGCTGCTGAATATTGTAAATGGGTCCCAAGAGTTAGATAATGAGTAGATTTATGGTCTAGAAGACGCCATAAATAACCATTGACTAGACGAGTAAAGCAAATGAATATTATCAGATTAAGCTTTATTATAATACTGTTGTGTTACTAAATATTGAACGTGAAATGATCAAAGAGAAGTTATAATATCCAATCATTTAGATCAGATTTTTTCACATGGAAATTTAAGCACCAATTATAGCTGATAATGGAAATTTACAATTTCAGCACCACGAAACTTCAATTTGCCGGAGGATCCATTTCAGGTTCAGGTTGAATACACACGAGCACTGAATGCTGCTAAACTAAACAGGTAAATACGCATCAGTCATAGTTGATTCCCTGTTAACCAGTTAATAGATCGAAATGTTAATAAATATAGGTAACGTATGTAATATTTTTTGAAATACTCCGAAAGACAGTCTTTTGTAGAGTGGTTACATGTAATAAAAAATGGTAGTAGGTATTATTTGATATTTTAGCAGGTTTTTTCTACTGAAAATTGATATTCTTCGGCGGTTTTTTTTCCGTACGCAAAAGACGGATAAACATTCAGCAACATCAATAAAAAATATTGTTAGGTTTTTATCGATCAGATGATAAGTCTTACTTATGCTAGTTGTCATTTGGCGCGTAAATAAAGCTCTAAAAGTTCCTCGTCTTCAGGGTCTTTGCAAAACCATTCATTTCAAGTTTGGACGGTCACAATGATGGTGTTTCGGTGCTTTGTAAACATCCTCTCAGGTTTATCTCATTTTTTTTTTCAAATCATGAAACTTGGTTTAATTATTTGAATCAATTCATTAACATTTTTATAAATTATAAAAGCAGTCGGTGACTAATTTTCTTTAGATTATTTTATTTTAGATTGTCGACGATTTTTTCTGGTGGTAGGGATGGTCAGGTACGGATATGGAATTTGCCGTTGCATAAATGCCTGGCAACGATACAAGCGCACAGTGGGCCTGTTAATGGTAAAACTTCATGGTAGTTTCAAAGTGCATAGTAGGATTTACTTTGCCAGTTTTATTTTTTATAGCTTTTTTTTTTTTTTAATTAAAGATGATGGTGAATGAGAAAGAAATTATGATTTGTCCTTTTATCTTTAATAATTCATGATTTAAGGTATCTCGTGTGATAATCTTTCGGGTAAAACCTTTATAACTGTTGGACACGATTCACAGCTGAAACACTGGAGATGTCCCGATCCGGTTGAAGGCGATCTCTCAGAACCTGTACATTCGATACCTCTTAATGGTGTTGCTCATGCTGTGTCACATATTGTGAATAGTGCTGACTACGTTACATGCGGTGAGGGCATCCATGTATGGAATAAGTTGAGGTAAGTTGAACAGGTGCTGGGAATGTTTTAATTTGTTTTGAACGATTCATTGAGTATGTTGAGTATTTCCATCAAGAACATCTGTGCTTTAGGGATTCTCCGATCCGAATATATAATTTGGGCGTTGATTCAGTTTATACAGTCAAGTGCAATCCTGTCGAACCAGAGATTATAGTTGGTTGTGGCAGTGATAGGACGATTGCATTATTGGATACAAGGCAAAAATATCCGTTAAAGAAAGTAGGTTTTTTAATTTTGATTTGACTTCATTGATTGAATTCGAGCAGTTTTAATGAAGTATGGAAAATTCGTTGACTAACTGAAAACATCTGTTATTGTCGTCCTTTGTTTTAAACTTGCTATTCATTCAGGTGACGATGAAATTGCGTCCAAATGCGGTAAGCTGGAATCCAATGGAAGCTTTTACATTCACAGCCGCCAACGAAGACTACAAGTATAATCAGCTTACACATTTCTGTTTCATTATTGCTGTTGAATACTAATTATTTTGACTTCGGATTTGTTTTATAGCTTATATGCGTTCGATATTCGGAAGCTGACTGATCCTCGACGTGTTTACAAGGGTCATACAAATGCAGTGATGGATGTTGATTACTCACCCACAGGAACTGAATTTGTTTCTGGAAGCTACGATCGTTCATTAAGGATATTTCCTGTGGAATCATTTAGCAGCAGGTATGATTTTATGTGAAGACTTCCATCGTTCTTTCTTTCAACCTTTCTGTTCTTCAGTATTAGGAGGGACTTAAATCAGCAAATTTTTTTGAGGGAAATATACCACACCAAGCGAATGCAACAGGTGCTTTCTGTGCTGTGGTCACTTGATAACAAGTTTGTGTTATCTGGTTCTGATGAAATGAACATTCGCTTATGGAAAGCAAATGCAAGTGAAAAATTGGGCCCGGTATGTGTTTTATTAATGTCGTCATGTCGTTCTTTTGTCCTTCTCATTCGGTCAGTTTTTGCACTCGTTGAAGTTATTTTGATTTTTACAAATATTCAATAAATTACAGGAATTTGAGATCTCGATTAATTTTATTCTAGTTACATCGACGTGAACGTGCAGCACTTAATTACAATGCTCGGCTATTGGAAGTTTATGGTGAACATCCTGAAATTAGGCGAATTGTGAAGCGTCGTTTCGTTCCGAGACCAATCTACACGTATGTTTTCTTTCTCAACAAATGTTGTGTTTATATTATATGCTTATCCTATTTGCAAAAGGAGTGCCTAACTTTCGAGCGAGTTTTTAATCTTATGACGATAACTCCGGTATTTGGTTACAAATTCCCAAGCTTAACATATGTTTTAAAAAATTTTGTCAATTTTAGTGCTACAAAGGAGCATAAAGCAATAAGTTTGTCGCAACGGCGCAAAGAAGAAAACAGAAGAAAACACTCGACACCTGGTGCTGTTCCATATGTTCCGGAACATTTGAAACATATGGTAAAAGAATCTATTCCGTTGTGAATTTTGTTAAAAATTGTTAAGGTTCATTTTTTTTAAAAAAAGTGCTTATTTCAGTTGTTAAGAAGTTAGGGTCATTTGAATCTTCAACTAAGTGAAGAGGGAAGTGAATAAATGAATAGAATTCTTCTCTTATATATTTAAAAGTACAGTTTTCGGTAAAATCTGTTATTTTAACTGCATTTAATTTTTTTAATTATTTTGGCGAGCAATTTCCCATTTAAAAAAGGAAAAAAAAAAGAATTACTCCTTCCTTCCTCTCTCCTAAAGTCAAATCTTGTGTATGTTTTGTGTTCACTGAATGTTCGCTTATTTCTTCACCATGTCCTGTTGTCATTATGCAAAATGAATCATTACTTCAGCAGGATTGATCGAACATGACAATTTATTTGCAAATTTCGCCAAGTGATTGCTAATGATTTACTGGTTTTTTAGATTAATATGAATTAGGAAAGTATGAAACAGGTTCCACTATGAACTGTATCCATTGAAAATAGATCTGATTAGTAAGCAAGACCAAGCAAAATTAGAAGTCCCAGTAGTTGGCGTTGATGGTTTTTACTATGATATGATAAGATAAAGTTGAAATTTACAAGTGCAGTACAATATGCGCGCCCAAAAATCAGTGATTTGCTTGATATAAAACTATTACAAAAGTATATAAATCAAAATTGAATGTTTTACAAATATCTTTATAGAATTAGAACAGTTTTTCGCAAAAATTGTGACACTTTCTGATTCTTAGCTGATCAACACATCCAATGGTCCGTTCTTGATTTCTTTCTTCTGAAGAAGTTTGCTGGCTGAATCAGATTCTCCGTGCTGATCAGTCGTACTAATTTTTTTCAGCACTTCCGGATCTTCTTGCCATTCAAATGGTTTGGTCTTATCAATCTAAATGCAAAAATCACGCCTTAAAAGTGTCGATTTTCGAAAACCTGTCCTTTCAATTCAGGGATTTTTATGCGATTGGCTGTAGATCCGGTGTTTGGAATGTTTTGCACTTCGAAAGTCTCATTTCTGTTGGTGCAAAAAAAAATACCTTTAAGCGATCCATTGCTTGATTGATGAAAGCGTGAATCACGCGATACCTCGGTCGGGCATTAAATCTAAATTTTCCGAGGTTTTTTGTTTTCTCAATTTTGTGGGAATTTTTAGAAAAAATCGAAAGAACAAAGGTTTCTTTTTTTTTTTATTTTTGGGTAGGGAGGGAATGGAAAAATTAAAAATAATACGCTGTTTGGTCGATAATATCTAGAATTTCCTCAAATTCTTGGGGGGAATCTCGAAGCAGTAGCTGTCTGCCGGGACCACGTGTGAATTTTTTCCATTCGCCAACTAACAAGTACTCTCGTTTGGGATCATGGATGAACCAGGGCAAATTTCCTGTAATTAACGTTTACTGGCTTAACAAAAAGTGCTATCCATTTTTCACGTTTTTATTTTTTATAATTCACTCCAACAAACAAGAAATTCGAAATCTAATTTGGATTTCAATTTGTCATCACACGTGTTTAAGAAGTATCACAACTTCTAACATTCTCCATACTTTATTTACACTCTTCTACTATCCATTTTTGAGATCTATTAATCTTTGTTAATCGAAAGTGAAACTATGTGAAATTATATGACGCATGAGAGTGATATATGTTGCGTAGAATCCTTGAAGTTCTCTTACCGACAATCATTTCAATAATCATATAGAACCATGATTCCAGGTCATCTTTTCGACATTGTTCCGAGAAATTGTGTGCATTCATCGGCGCATAATATATTGTGCCCATTAAACTGGCCGCATTCCGTCGTTCAATCAATGTACCATTTTCACGACTACATTGATTTTGGTAAAATGATCACATTTTTTTATATCACGTAAATAAGTAATTTGAAGTAGTAGCTGCCAAATAATTTAAGATACTGACTAGTCAAGTATACAAAGCAAGACTAGTTATCATAAAGCTGAAGTATGTATCGTATTCAACTAACATGAATCTTCGTGCAAAACCAAAATCAAGCATATAAATCAATCCCATGTTTTTCATCCCAATACAAAAATTATTTGCCTTAACATCACGACAAAGCCAACCGCTATCGTGAAGCGCTTCGATACGTCTCAATGTTTGAGATGCAAGTCTAAGCGCTGTTGAGAGGCTGAATCTGAAAAGAAAAGAAAAATGCAAAAGATTAAAATAAAAATTAGTTTCCAAATTCTTTAACTATAAGCAATTCTTTAGTGCAATGAAAATAACGATTGAATATTTCAGCTGAAATACTTCTAATTATCAGAAATGAATAATTTCAAAAAAGGAAAAAAAAAGATAAGTATCTTAGAAGTCACATAGTTTTCGTATTTTCTCATAGGATAGTTTATTTATAATATTTTAGTTGAGCATAAAGTAAGGTCACGTTGATACTTTCAAAAAACTCGACGAAGAGAATAATGAAATGAAACTGAAATAAGCAGTTATTCAAAAGTGATTAATGTATCCAAGTTCTTTAATATAAGACAAAATTTTTATCCACTTTTTTGCTGGTATTGAACGTCTCAGGCGTTGTAAATCTGGACCAACCAATTCCATGATAATATATTTATAAAGTGGTGTCCTACCAGCAGCAATTAAACGTGGAAATCCTGCGGTAATATCATGACGATTAAGTTGCTTTAACACTAATGCATCCAATTTCAGTACAGGTCTACAATTGATAAAATTATCTTCTTTTTTCCATCAGATATATATAAATAATATTAAAATTAATATGCGCGTATACAGGAGTTGAGTTGATTGGTTACTTCATTAGCGGCTAATATAATTATTTAAATTTTCATGATGTTATAGCATTTATAGCACTTCTTTATTACATCTATTTGTGTAAAGGTACTTTATTTACGTTATAAGATGTAAATAATTCCAATGCGGAAAAAGAAAGACCTTTTTGACCCTATTGTACGCTCAATCTTCATAGCATATTGCATACAACCTTCATTGATGGCATAAACTTTGCTAAAGGGTCCATCGTACAGTTCTGATTGGATATGGTACTGCTTTCCCTTCAATGTAACCTTCGAACCAACAGCTGGCATCTTATTATCACTATCCTCATTTCCCATTAATATTAACACTTTACGTTACGGCACTCAATAGCTATGAGAGACCGTTCAGGATGAATACAAATAATCAAAATGATTGTTTTAGAAAAGTAACAGAGCTTTGGAACCACAAATATTATCCACAGCCAAATCATTGATTTCCTAGCAAAAATCATGTAAATTGTCTGTCAGATATTTTAGGGCCGAGTAGACATGTTTATTCGACCAACTAATTCCAAAGATAACCTAACTAGAGAAACTGATCTCAAATTGTGCTTAGCTTAGAAAAGGAAAGATTGGAGCTTCTACGCCTTACAGACATTAGAAGTTATGGAACAACAGAAATCATCTGAATCACTTCTCCGAGAGATGTTCTCAGAGACAAAAAGATTACACTTTGCAGTTGGCCAATTCAAATTTAGAATACGCGTGTTCCGAATATGCACAGAACTAATTAAATCAAGTAAAAATTTATTTTTGCGAAATAACAACGATCCATTAGTAGTGGCTGAATAAAACCTCAAGCAATATATTTAAACATTTAACTTGAAAAGCAGTCACTGAAGATATGGAATTCAAACAAAAAAAGTGAAAAGAGAAGATCAAATAGTTCAATCCTCAGGGCAAAAATTTTGGACTTAAAATCGGATGGTTCGTCAAAATGATTCTTCAGACTTACTGTCACATTAGCTTACACAAATTTTAGTAATCAACAAATAATGGAAATAGTTTTTATCGAGACTTAACAAGGTCTACGGTCGCGTGCTCGTTGTCGTGGTGCGCTTTTGATAATATTGTCCACACGAAGAATCTGAAGCATAAAAAACCCTTTATTTCGAGAAAATTCGTTGTCTCCCTTACTACAGCTTTAAAACTCAAACTTTATTCCCTGTGAATTCCCGCTGTAGATGATAACAGATGTTCATAAAATGTTATCTTTTCGGAGGAGTTAAAATTCAAACGTCTTACCTGCTCAGCTGCTTCTGCTGCACTGGAAACCATGCACAACTTTACACTGAACGACTCGATCAGGCCCTTTTCAATAACATCCGCTGGTTCGCCTTTCTCAATATCTGAAAATTCGTATGTGGCGAATATGAATCACTATTATTATTAACTTCGGTCGAAATTACCCATCTTGCAGTATGCTATTTCCATTACTTAAAACTAAAATGTATCGAAAACAGTTATTTTCAGCAACTGTGATTAAACACAGGAATATATCTCCACTTTTTTTCTTAAGCAAAAACGTAAGTATGTAAATTATTTTCTAAAGTGATTACACAATTTGTAGATGGAAAGATCAAAGATATATATCATAATCCGCTATAACCATTCGATCCCATCTATCATACATGATCAAGAGAAAGATACAAACTAACCTATTCCCATGCAATGATTACCATTGCTATGGTAAGCACGTAACTTCGATACGATTTCTGCACTATCCAAACCAGCATTGTCGCAAATGTAAGTTGGTAATTGTGCCAGTGCACGAGCAAACGCCTCAACAGCAAGCGACTCTTTCCCAGCAATCTTAATTTGAAAAATTTACTACATAATGTGTCTGAAAGAATAATCAAAATTACCCATAATGTTGAAATCACTGCTTCAATTAATTAATTGATAAATGTAATACATTTCAACATAATATTAGTAATACCTTCTGACTTTCCGACATCGCCGCAGTGCTCATCAAAATTTCAGACGCTCCAGCACCAGCGACCGTGCGTGCTTCTTTAACATGAGTCACTAAGACACACAACGCATCATGAAGTGATCGTTCTGCTTCATCGAGAATTTGTTGCGTAGAACCACGAATAACAATACTACATGCTTCGCCTGCAAAGAATTACAGGAGCACTAATTCATAGAGTGTCGTAAATCACAAATTAAAAACTAAAAGGAAAATGACTAAAAACTAAAAGCATTTCCAAAAATTTGCCAAAAACGGAAAATAATTTTAGTTGGTCACGAAAAGGCAATTACTAGAAAAATCGCCACAGATACTTCACAAAGATCTATTCATACCAATTGGAACACCAGAAAATCGCAGCAGCCGATCCTCACCAATCATAACTTCCTCGATAAGATTACAGGAACCAAGTTTAACTATTTCAGGCGAATCAAATGTCGATACAATTTCACCACCTGTAAAAAATGATATAGGAAAACCTTCAATACAGTTAAAAATAGAATCAACTGATTACAAAGAATAGAAAAACACACCAAGAACGAGAGCAAGTCTTTCGATTCCCTCAAAGTCGGCATGCTCAATGGCCATGATACCAGCATCAGCAAACAGCTGCTCCGGATAGTTGTAAATCAGCTGCCGATTGATAAATACGTTAATTTTATGTGCTATAATTTTATTTACCTGCAAAAAATTTAATGTCAAACCACTTAAATCAACTTGGAAAAAATAGTTTCTGAAAATGCTATTACTAATAGCACAGACCAAAATATTTCATCTACAAACCAACCTTATCCTTCATTTTCTGTTTTTCAGCAACTTCCAGCTCTGCAACTTTAGCCACAGAATCTACACGCACTCTTGAACCGAATACTTTTATCTAAAAAATAAAGCACTTCTTTTCAGTGATGTATAAAAATTCCTAAGAATTGAAACGAAGTTTCAGACCGACTTAAGCCTGGCAATCGCTATTTATAGTAAATGAGTAAGTCCCATAAACTACAGTCTCAAAAATTCAGAACCACCAAGTAAAGATATACTCAACTCAAGCAAACACGAAGTGCAAACCAAACCACGAAATAACAAGTTCGTGTTCAAAAATCGTAAGCTGCTGGCAATATCATTTCTATTCACTTGAAAATTTCAAATTTATTCGTTAATCAGCGAGTGCACAAACCTTATCAGTATCCATTGGCGTGTTAGCAATCAGAATTTTTGCATTTTCAACTTTTTTTGGTTGATACATGCCTGGACGTTTTTCAAGCAAAAATCCTTAAAAATTAAAAATGAACCGTGTAAAGCAAGACTTCAATATCTGAAAAGAAACTGTTAGAAATACGAATGTTACTTCTACAAAACAATTACAATCGGTTTTGATATCGACAGCGAACACGCTGAGAAGTGTACGATCTACAAAGAGAATCGACCTCGTAGATGACGTCAACAACGAGGGTCTGTTCTTGGAAAAGTAATTAAATATCATTAGGAAAAAACAGTTCAATGTTAGAATAATTCAGTTCCTTAACATTTAAATAATTTTCCAACCACTATATTTTTTTTTACTCTAACCTTCGTCCAGATAACTGTCATCCATCGAACCACCCAGTTTTTTGATAATCTGAATTGATTCCAGACATCCAGAACCCTTCAGACGCAACACAGCATCGACGGCAAGTTGAGCAAAATGTTCTTTATGCTGCGCTAAAATCTTGGAGCCAAGTGTTGTTCGAGCTATTTTCAACAGGTCATCACGCATATCTGTTGCATTGGAAGTTTTCGCCGATGCTCGCAGAGCATCTTGGGCTATTTTCAAAGCTCGGCGATAGCCAGCAATGATTGTTTGTGGATGAATTTTGGCACCAATCAACCGTTCGGCTTCTTTCAATAGCTCAGCGGCAAGAACGGTCACTGATGTTGTTCCATCGCCTACTTCCGAATCTTGTGTCATCGAAATCTCTAAACAACAGAAAGTCCTTAATGCTAGGAAAAGTAAAAGGAAATGACCAGTTCAAGACCAAAACTCATGAACGAAACCATTTCGAGCTTCGTCTTCAATTATCAATGCTGTTATGATCGATGGACAGCAATAGCCTTACCAGAGTTGCGCGCCTGAATGAGAGAAGTGCTCTAAGACTCTAATTGTTATCTATCGCAATTTCTCACCTACGAGAACTTTCGCAGCTGGATTGTCAACGCCAATAGCTTTCAAGATGGTAGCACCATCGTTCGTTGCTTGCACCTGCTGTGAATCACCTTCACCGCACAACAAAATTTTGTCCTTAAACGAATTTGACGTTGGAAGTTTGAGATTATCAAAGCATGGGAAAAAAAGTCCTCAAACAGTTGAAGCTTGAAATCCTAAGCATTTGGTGCTTTCAAATAATTAAATCGTTATGTAGTGGGGAAAGCGTTGTAAGAATTGCTTAGTATGCATTCCAACAATCATTAGAACCGTTAGAGATGATCTTGACTAACCACCTATGTTCAATAAATATCTGGCATTTACGTAAAAGTGGAAGGATAATTCAGAACGTAACATCCCCACCACCACCACTCTACACGAACAAGAAACCTACCATTCCCTTGGGTCCTAACGTCGATTTCACCAAATCACCAATTGCGATTGCACCAACAAATGACGACAAACGTGCTCCTTCACCTCGTTCTTCCTGAGCATTTTGCTTTAATATCTGCACTGGAAGCATGGCTGCAGCGAACTTTATACTGAAATATTTTAGGAGAAGTAGGAAATCCTCGAAAGCGAAATAAAACAACTGTGACCAATAGAATGATCAAATTTTGAATTATTTCTAAGTTAAACCAGACAACTTCATTACATATCGGCACACTCGACAGATATAACCCAATTCTAACTGCATTATTCCATAATAATTCCGATGGTACATCCCTTAATGAAGCAATGTTCCCATTGTCACGACAGCATGTTCTTTGACCTTTACACCATCCTATTTCTTCTGTAACCTAATTATCTGATAGAAAATGTCTCAGGCTCTATGCTAAGCTCCAGATCATATTTATGCCACCCTAACCGGATCACTTTAAACCTCCACTAACTACTCCTCACAACAAAACAAAATTAAAGGGCATTTAGCTAAACTAACAGAAAGCCCACAGTTTTTCATTACATCCCATAAAAACATGAATCAAAGTTTCTTATCAAACTCATAATATTTGTAGCAAACCAGCAAAAAACCCTGGTTTGTTAAAACTCCTGCAATAATGATATGTGACGCTGACATTACTGACATTAGCACCATCGGGTAGTGTCTCAATGCAAATCGATTTCTCTCATTTTTCTAAATACTGTAAAGCGAATGTTTTGGAGACGGAGAAGTGGGCTAGCGGTGTGGTAATTGCGTACCAAGAAATTACACATATGCCATAAAACAGTTTACACTTCTATGATTTATTTGATGTATGGTTCTGGGATATCCGGGTCATTTGGGCTCTATGGGTATTCTTCCTATAGGACCGTATAGGTCAACATTACAGAAGATCGTGAACAGCATAAATTTTAGTTATTAATGCCTTCCTCAAATATAAATGAACTGTTTGGTAATTATGGTTTAATATAAAAAGGAATTTTAATGAAATCATAAAACGATTGTAGAGAGCGAGAAATTGGAATGAAATATGGAAGACTTCGAAAAGTATGGCGCAATTACGATAAATCCTCCCGCAGAGGAACATGGTCCACGGTTAGTTTAATGTGATGTTCGTACCAATATTGAAAAGTGACAACAATTGAGCAATATTACATGCTAGTGTGAGGTTTTTTTTTAAATGTTTCACAGAAGATAAAAACACAGTCACATTATGTTGGAGATGAAAGTCATGAGTGTTGTGAGCCTTTTTTCAGTGATATCAGTCCTATCATTAAGGTGGGATAATTTGTTAAAGCTTTTATCCTATTTTATTAATTTTATGGATTGGCTGTAATAGTTTGAAAAGACATATGCCTTTACTTTAGAATGACACGACACATCTACTGGAGAAAGCGATTCATGGAACAGATGCCTCATTCGGATATTGCGCAATCTTCTGATGTTACTGTAACAACTTCTAATCTTATTACCAATGATGCACCATCTTCATCAAAGGTTTCCGACAAGTCGATTAATTCTTTCCCACTTCTTTTCAAATTTTTTAGTTGGTTACTGTTCTGTAAGGCTTTGTAAATCTTGGGGAACCGTTTCTTCTTTTTTTTTCAACTCTGCTCATGGCAGCATGTACTGACGACGTTTACCTATTGTGGTTTCTACCCTGATCTCATTGATGTATTTCGAGTCATGACAGAAATATTCCATATAAAATACAGAATCGTACAGGAGATTATGACAAGCGGTGATATTATATCAACAATCAACAGAATTTATGACGATCCAGAATCAGTTAGTCGCCATTTATTTGATTTACTGCGTTCTCCAAACGAAGATGACGATTTACAAGGCGAAGTAAGTTTTACCTTCAAAACAACACAATAAATTAGAAGTTATGGGAAGAAGGCAGATGAAACCTACTGTGAAAGACTGTAATTTTCCGTGGCAGACTTGATATCACGTCTTCTTTTGATGTAGAGTTTTATGTTTAACATGACATAATTTTTTATGCTACAAAATTAATTAACACCCAGTACGATTGGATATAGTTGCATTGAAAGGTGCATATATTAAGCATTTCAATAACTGACTTCTTTCTTTTTTAGCTTATCGACTTGCTTGGATTAGAGCAGTTCGACTTAGTTAGTACGATCTTGTCATCAAGGCAAGAGCTGTTAGATTGTTATAGTTCGGTTCGTGAGGATATTGCTCGAACTACGAAACTGGAGAGAATGCTGGTACGATGTTAATACGCAATGAGTTCAAATTAAATTCAGCGGTCTTATGAAAATGAATTGGACGATAAATTTTAATTTTCTCTCTTTTCATCTCTACTTTATTGTTCTTATATTTAAAATCATACGATTTTGCGGTGGTTGTCTGCTTGCTTGATTCGTGTTACAAACTACTAAAAATTACGAAAATTTCATTTAAATCTTCCAGGAAGTCTTTAAATCATTCGCATCCGTTTCAGCAAAAATCACAAAAGCAAAAGCAACAGCCTTTGTATTGTCAGCAGGTAACAGTTCAGTCAAATACCGATGTAAACATACGGAAAATGACAAGACGAGAGCAGAAGCGTGCTGCTAAGCAACTAAGTAAAATTACACAAAATTTAAGCGAAGATGAAAAGCTTGAGCTGGAGCAGGCCCAAAACGATATGCTCAAAGAAAGGTCTGCATATTGAAGAAAATCATTTCAATACCAATTCGATTTATATCATAGCAGATGTTAAATTTTATTCAACGTCAGGTTTCAAGATCTGGAAGCAAAACGGTGGTTCGAAACATTGCGTGAAAATAGGTCAACTGTTGTACGTGAACGTTTTCCATATGTATACGATGCACTGATTGAATCCGAACATATTTTTATCACTGTCGACGGGTCGAAGGTTCTATTTCTGAATACTGTTTTATGATATGTAATTTGCATTAATATGATTAAGAGCTATATGCATATACATAAACAAGCAGTAAATATCCAAGCTTTTTTTATTTTGTTAACATTATTTGTTTTTGAGCTACTGCAATTCCAAGTCAATCTGAGTTCCAAAACTTTGTGACTGGGATGTTTAGCAATTAGTTAATTGCCTCCATAGTTAACAGTCAATTTGAAGTTAAAAAAACAAATTTTACTGTGTATGTTTCAAGCGTTGTTTACCGGCTAACTCTTCCCGTGTAATTCACGACACTTACGAAGAAGTTTATGTTCCCGCAGTGGATAGATCTCAGATCACGACAGTACACCAAATAAATATCGAGGATTTTGATGAGGTTGAAGATATTCCTTCATTTACTTATTATGGTTTGTTTTTTCAAAAATTGTTCATATATAGCCTAGCTAAAAGAAAGTTTGCATGTTTACGGAAAATTGGTTTCAGTTCCTATTTCTTATGAAACTTGATATTTCGCTGTTTTGTTTTCAGTTAGGGAAAAAGTGTTTCAATGATTTCGAAAAGCTTAATGTTATTCAGTCACTGGTGTTTACGCAAGCTTACAAATCACAAGAGAATTTGTTGATTTGCGCTCCGACGGGTGCAGGTATGATAATCTTTGTTCGATAAGAAAAATTTAGTTAAAATACATTACTTAGTTCAATGCATGGTATTTGTTATTAGAAGTGGCGAGCTCCTTTAATTTCAAACGTCTTTTTTGTAGTTAGCTTTTGAATAAAACGTTTGGTCGAGGAATCATGCAGAAATATTAGGTTATTATAAACTAACGAGGTTTTTATTTCTTTAATTAGATCAAGTTGAAATGCATATTTTAAAAATTTAGGTAAGACGAATATTGCATTACTGGCAATTTTGAACACGGTACATGGCTACATGAACAATGGTGTGATTTGCAAAAATGATTTCAAAGTATGGTTTTGTTACTGCTAAAATAACCTAATTAGGGATAACATATTTATGATAATAATCCAGGTTTTTTAAAAATCTAACAGCATCTTAATTTTATGAAGTTCATCAGTCCTGGAGATTTATTCATATGTTTACATTATGTGACAAACTATCACAGATTGTTTATATCGCACCGATGAAAGCATTGGCGACTGAAATGACAATGAATTTTGCTAAGCGACTAGCTCCATTAAATTTACGCGTGCGTGAATTAACCGGTGACACAACACTTTCAAGGAAAGAAATTGCCGAAACACAGGTAGAGAGGGTTTTTTATTTAACTTGGAAGAATGAGGCTAAAAATAGATGGAAATACAATAACGCATGAAAATTTAAAATATCAAACAGAAGGCATCTTTATCTGACTTGGAAAATGAGACTAAAAATGGATGAAAACACAATATTTTTTAAAAAAAAATAGGTTTATATTTTGGAGGTTATTGTGGGGACTGATATGCTTTTTTATATGTATATATGATAAATAGGAGACTTACTGATAGCATGTATTGGACTTAAAAGAGAATCATATATTCGTTGTTTGATATTTTAAATTGTCGTGTCATTACAAAAACTAGAAAAAATTTAGAAATAACTATTTCATTATGCATTTGTAAACATGCTTCGATAAAGCAGAGTCGATAAACCTGAAGGACCTCCTCTCAACACGTTTATCGATTCATTTTTTTATGGGTTTGGTCATTTGATATTAGGAAGTCCTTGTCAATAGCATGCACTTATATTATACTAGTGATTACGTAAGAGTTGTCAGCTATCTGTTCACATGACAAGAATTTAAGTGATGAATATCCATTTTCTACAGATGCTTGTTCTGACTCCCGAGAAATGGGATGTTGTGACGAGGAAAGCTATCGATTTACCGCTCACGAAAATGGTAAAACTATTGATTATCGATGAAATCCATTTATTACACGATGATCGAGGACCTGTGATTGAAACCATTGTTGCAAGAACGCTTCGACAGGTTCATGCCTGCATTTGTTTTTTTTTATTTTCTTGTTATAATTACTTATTAAAAGTAACACAATCATAAAATTCATGAAACTGATGACCTGAAATAGCTAGGTTAGCTTCGCCCTGTTTCTGATGAAATCTGGATTACATTTAACTAATTTTGCCAGTGCTCCAGTTATCTCGTTTATTTGATTTGATGGTATTAACATAGGGTGAACACTTTATATTACTGTGATTATTTTAGCTTCAGATTACGGGTATATGCACTAATTTTAGGTCGAAATGAATCAGCAAGGTGTTCGAATTATCGGACTTTCTGCCACGCTACCCAATTATATCGATGTTGCAAGGTTTTTGCGTGTAAACCCCCACAAAGGGATGTTCTTTTTTGACGGCCGCTTTCGACCAGTTCCACTTTCACAGACGTAATCTTTATCGTTTTTTTTCCTTCTGTTTCTCTTCACAATTTTCTAAAATTAAGACTGGAAAATTGAAATGCAAAAAATCGAAACCTAAAAATATTATTGCAGCATGCATTAAATTATATAAAAACTTATCGTATAATATATAGTAAACTGCGCAGTTTTTAACATATTGTACTCTTGGCTAGTGCGGCATTTGGCTCTCATATTTTACAGCATTTTTTTTAGTTTTATTGGCGTTCGTAATCCGCGAAGTACAGGACCAGATCTGATGCGTGAAATGGACGAAGTGTGTTACGAGAAAGTACATCAGTTTGTGAGCAAAGGACATCAAGTTCTTGTTTTCGTAACTGCGCGGAATGCTACCACAAAATTAGCTATGACTTTCCGAGATGAAGCTGCCAAAAGGGTCTCTTTCTTACTGTGTTTCATATTTCTGTGCTATATCTCTTTACGGAATATTATACTGAACGCAATGAATTACAGGCTTCCATTCCAAACCATATTTCTTTCCTTCATTAATAGTTGATAGTGAGTGTCTTTATGGATTCCAAGAGAACTAATGCTTTTTTAAAAATCGTTTCAGGGAGAATCAAATCATTTTTTGCCGACAAATGTTGGTTCATTGCAGTACATTAATGCAATGAAATCGGTGATTCACCGTTTTTTTCTCCATGTTTTAAAAGTTGTTTATTGCGCTGGTTGTAAAATTAATGAACATCAGAATAAACAGATATTGTTCATGGAATAACCAATGATGACATGCAATCGCATGGATAAGCTTTTATATATATACATATATGTATATTATATATATATATATATATATATGAGAAACTGCATCATTGATGACATGAAAAGAATTGAAGGATAGTACTGCCAATAACAATGAATCCAATATTTTAACATTGGCAGTCAGGAGCCAAGACTGCATAAAGGAAATATATCTTTTCAGGTGCAGAATTGCCGGAATGATATACTATTGGAATTTTTCCGTCTTGGCTTAGGTATCCACCATGCTGGCTTACCGCGCCGAGAACGTTTGATGACTGAAAAGTTCTTTGCTAATGGACATATTACTGTGCTTTTTTGTACTTCAACTCTTGCTTGGGGTATTAATTTGCCGGCACATGCTGTTGTCATTCGGGTAGGATTTTAATTATTCATTTGAATTATAAACGTTTACAATTAGAATTGTAAACGTTATGTTGAGAAATTCGAAACTATTATTTAAAGCTGTATTAAGTATTTTTTCACAAGCTGTATTAAGTTCTCTAAACAACAGTTAAAGAATTACAGAAACTATTAGCATCAAATTTTCGAGGTTTATTAGGTCCGAATTCGACACATAATCGTTTAGGGAACTGAAATCTTCGATGTTCAAAAAGGCGCTTTCAGCGACATGGGTGTTCTGGACGTGCAACAAATTTTTGGTCGAGCCGGTCGTCCACAATATGAGAGCTCAGGTATATCGAAATTGCCATTTATGAAGGCTCTATAGGCGATATCTTCAACAATGTTGATATATGGTTATATGCGCTAGTAAACTTCTGTCTTAGGCTTATTCTGAGCATGTCGCATTAACGCAGTGTCGATTACAGCTAATACTTGTGGGAGACATATTTTCTAAGAAATTTAAACAAGATAAGTCAATGCTTTCTTTGACTGACACAGATCAGACTTGCAATCAACAACTGAATCAATGGTTGCGTAGTTACATTATAAATTATTTATTTACAGCTCATTCGGCATGCAATTATGATACAATCTGATGAATGTTGTACTGCTTTTAAGTTTTATAATTCCATGCATTCATTAAGTGGACGAATTATAGGACATGGCGTAATCATAACATGGAAAAAGAATATGCCACAGTATTTGAATATGTTGCTTCGCCAAGCGCCTATCGAAAGCCAGTTTATGTCACGAATTTACGATAATTTGAATGCCGAAATCTCTTTAGGTTCATTTTCTTTTCACTAATATTTCTCAAATGTTAGTGCAGCAATATGCAAAGACAGCTTTTAAACTTTTCCTATTCCCATTCTTTTTTATTGTCACTGCTCTTGTTTATCTAGTTAGATGTTTGAAATGCTTCAGGAACAGTGTCAAGTATCTCTGAAGCAGTCGAATGGCTCAAGTACACATATTTTTTCATTCGAGCCAAATTAAATCCTCTTGCATATGGAATACCTCGGGGACAGTTAGAGCGCGACCCAGATTTATATGAATATTTGACTCAAATGATGACGGAAGCAGCTGAGAAATTGGATGCAAGTCAAATGATCAGGTTTGATAGTATGTAAGTTTCAATACTCTAATTCTTCTCTTTGGTTCATTTGTGAATGACGTAATAATGGAGAATATGATGAACTATGGTTATTGTTTAATACTGTCGATTTCAGCAATGTAAAAGAAAAATATTATTTAGTAGTACAATATGTAATATCATATAAATGATCTTCAGAAACGGTTACGTGACATCAACAGATCTTGGGCGCATAGCTTCAAACTATTACATAAGATATGAAACAGTTGAAGTATTCATGAATGGCGTGGGAGGGTTGAAACTGGAAGCATTCATGAGCGACGATATGATATTGTCGTTAATTGCATCAGCAACGGAATTTGACCAACTTAAAGCTAGTTATATTCTTCCATTTCGTATCATAGCATTTCTGTTTCCAACCTGTTCAATAGCTGATAGCCAATCGCTTTAATCCATTGAAGTGTACTTCGTCCCTTATATATTAGAATGACTAAAAAGTCTTTTCGCGAGTGTCAGATTATGAGAGGTGTAACTAAAACTTTCAGTATGCTGCTTGGAAATGATTTAAGGGTTCTGTGCTTTTCTGTAGTAATAAATCCTTTAACAAGGTAATGTACATTACCTGGTGTTCTTAGCATTATAGAAAAACATCATTTCACTGCCTTATAAGGATCATTTTGTTTATTATTATTTTAGATTTTAATATTCTTTTGATTAAGTTGCGGGAAGAAGAAACAGTCGAATTAGAGGAACTTGTGCAAACTTCTTGTCCTTTACGTTTGAAAAGAGGTGCTTTGGCAACTGTACCTGGAAAAATAAATTGTTTAATCCAGGTAAATAATAAAATGAATTCTTTTGAACTAGAAATATTAGATTCTGAGGGTGTTAAATGATTGCAATTTTTTTGCAGGCTCATATTTCACGAGCATTCATTCGAAATTATTCACTGGTTTCGGAATCAATGTTTGTTCAACAAAACTGTGGTCGACTATGTCGTGCAATGTTTGAAATAACTTTGAGAAAAGGATGGGCCCAAGCAGCTAATGCAACGCTGGCTATGGCGAAATGTTTTGATAAGCAAGTATGGCCATTTCAGACACCTTTGAGGTAAAAATCTGCATTTCATATATGGTTTTCGCACACTAATTTATTAATCCTTTCTGTGGCTATAATTCTCGTCTGGGAAACTTCTTAGTCTTTCTACTTCACATTTTTTTCTTTCTGAGGGTTTATTTTAAAGAAGGAAATGATTGTGTTCTTGATGCTGAAATAGATGGTAAATCAATTTTTTAATCACTTACTGCAGTTACTTTTTTTAGGCAACTTAATGAGTTTGTTCGAGCAGATTGCATCCCAAAAATTGAACGGAAAAAGCTTTCTCATTATCAACTCTTTGAAATGAGTGCAAAAGAACTTGGTAAAAAGTTGGATTCTATTTTTTCTCCTGACTTTGATGATACTATTAACTTAACTAAGTTTAATGAAAAAAAATGGCAAGTAAATCTAACCTCTCTTCACTAAGGGATAAATGAAAACATTATTCTGGTAACTTGGTTTTGTTTAGGAAAGATCTTAAGTTGTGATGGGCAGAAGATGTATGAAGCAGTACGTATGCTGCCAGTAATGTATTTGGAAGCTTCAGTCAAACCTATTACAAAGTTTGTAATATTTCCCATGATTTTTGCAAGTTTGACCAGTTTGGTTGTTTGACCATCAACATTCACCAGTTTCACTACATTATTTTGCATCCACTTTTCATTTTAAACATTGTTTAAAGTATTTTCACCAACTCTCTTTGCAAGTTTCTGAAAAGTTTCTCTACTTTATTATGAGAATTACTCTTCCCAGTAAGTATCAAGCGAATATTATGGTTATGTTTTTTAATGCTTTCTTTAAGAACTTTTGTATGCTCATTGGGAAGAGTGTTAATATAGTAAACAAACTTTTAGGGGCTTTAAGTCTGTGAAAGTTTCTTTACGTCATTACCATCCTTCCTAATAAGCACTGAAAAAAAGGAGACTTTCATTTACTAATGAGCATTAAATAAAAGAGAACTTTCAAAAGAACTTGGTTGAGAAAAATTAGTAACTTAATGAAAATATTTTCAAAAAATTAAAAATGAGAAATGATGTTCTCTTTATGATCCGCCGAATTATATGGGGTTTATGATTTGATCAATTTGCAGCACAATTATTCAAGTGACTGTGATTTTGACGCCAGACTTCATTTGGCATGAACATTTTCTCGGTTCAACTGGTGTTCAAGTTTTCTGGGTTTTTGTCGAAGATATCAATGAAAACATGATCATCCATCATGATCAGGTGGTCGTTAATAGGAATAAGGTTTGTAAATTATTAACCAATTCCATGCTATTATTTGTTATATTCAGCCAAAGCTGATCCATCACACGACTGTTTCGACATTTGCTTTTAATACCTAATATTGACATCTGCTGTTTGACATCTACTGCTTGATTTATACGATTTTTTTCTGATTATTTTATCCTTTGTAGGTTCGTCACAGTGAACCACAAAATCTTATTTTTACGGTACCAATCAGTGATCAGCAGTTAACCCACAATTATCAGGTACGAGTTGCAAATGATCGGTTTGTAGTTGATGATAGTGTTGTCCCTATTTCGATGCATAATTGTGTTTTACCGTCTTCACATCGTCCGCATACAGGTATGAATTTTCCTATATGTCAAATTTTGTACATATTTAAACTTCTATTTATTTAAGATTTCTTAATTACGGATTCTTTCTTTTCTTTGTAGGAGTTGAAGTATACTGCTTTCGTTTATAATTCTGGGCTTCGCCGTTATGAGTACCATATTTTTCATGTATTAACTCATCGTACTGAATTAGTTTGCTATTAATTGAAAGGACAATATGCTCAAAATTATAGATCTGCTAGATTTGGACCCTTTGCCTTTAACAGCTTTGAAAAATGAAGCATTCCAGTCGATTTACAATTTCGGATTTTTCAATCCAGTGCAGACGCAGGTTATTTTTCCGCCCGTTTTCGAGAATTTTTTTAATCATTTGTTTGCAAAGCAGTTTATAAACTAATTTTATTATAGGTTTTCCACTGCCTGTATAATACAGATCAAAATACTTTGATAGGCGCACCAACTGGTTCTGGTAAAACTCTTTGTGCGGAACTGGCCATGTATCGCATTTTCCGTGAATATCCTGCTAAAAAGGTTTAATTCATTAAAGATTGCTTGGATTGCTTTTTAAAGATGTTACTTCTGCGAATGGGATTGGCAAAATCTTATGAAATTAAGGTTTTTTTAACGTATATCTAACAGGCTTTTATGTGAGGTTCTGTAAAATAATTTGGAATTATTAGTTTGGCCTTTTTGCAGATTTGCTTTTCTTTTTTTTTCCGAGAGATAAATGGATTGCTGTTTGCAGTGTGTTTATATTGCACCTTTAAAAGCTTTGGTGCGCGAACGTGTTTCTGACTGGAATGAAAAGTTGCAAAGACTGAATATTAGGTTATATTCCTTTGTTTATTTGTCACGTATTATTTTTACGGAATTGTTTGTCATTGTCCGGGTTGAAATTAATTTTTACACTTTTTATCTTCTATTTTGGCTGTTCATTATCTTCGGACGGTGTACACGATGCTTGTGCATCTTGGAGGCATCGATCTTTCAATCTTAAATTTCCTTATTAAAGTTCATCAAATTTCATTTCAACTTTAAATTTTAAATTTTATTGTATTTTTTCATCATCTTTTTTTTTAAATTTACATATATTCTGCTCAACGCTAATTTTTTTAGTGTGGTTGAGCTTACCGGGGACCATTCACCGGATATTCGCAGCTTGAGTTCAGCTAAAATTGTGATTACGACGCCAGAAAAGTGGGATGGCATAACACGTAGTTGGGAAATTCGTCAGTATGTTAAAGACGTGGGGCTTGTTATTGTCGATGAAATTCATCTTCTAGGTGTTGAAAGAGGTGCTGTATTGGAAGCAATTATAACAAGGTAGGCAGGGTGATGATTATATGTTAGTGTTACCCAACCGGTGGTCAGGGAAAACTAAAGTGTGGTCTGCGAGAACTGTTAAAAACTATGTTTGTTCTTTTTGATATTATAATATTGCCCTAAGTTCACCGAATGCGTTAAAAGTTTTGGTTGAAGTTCATATTCAAATTAGCAGAATTTATTATTTTTGATATTTAACGGTGTTTGCTACAAATGAAAAAGCCATAGTGGTCTTCGGTCAAGAAAAAGTTGGGAACCACTGATCTGAGTTATGGATGATCTCAAATATTCCCATCACTTTTGATCCCTGATGTTTGAAGCTTGGAAATATTGATCCTTAGAGGTGCTGCACATCTCAAGTGTTGAAGATTTAAAATTATTTCAGGGATTTTTTTCAGATTAAAGATGATGGCTGCAAAACAAGAATCGCATAATCCTGTTCGTGTAGTTGGTCTTTCTACTGCTCTTGCTAATGCAGGCGATGTTGCGGAATGGTTAGGTGTTGTGGATGTAAGTTGATAAAATTAATAAATTTAATTATTTTTTCTTATCAGAATGCTGTGGATAACCCAAGCAATTGAAAACATCATAAATATATTATATGCCTCTTTTGCGAAAAAATAATTCAGGCTGGACTTTTCAATTTCCGACCAAACGTGCGACCTGTACCTATTGAGGTGCACATTGCTGGTTTCCCAGGTCAGCACTATTGCCCTCGAATGGCTCTGATGAATCGACCAGCTTTCAAAGGTGTTTCTTTGTCTCAAAAAATTTTCCATTCATTCGTTATTTTTAAATGATCAGTCTCATCAGTTTCTAATTACTTGTTCTTATGTGGACAATCTGTGGAAAATTTTAGTCTTTACGTAATTTTTACTTATGCAGCCTCAACGGTATCTCCCTTGCTATCAAAGTTTCCTTTAGCAATCAAAAGTTATTCTCCTTGTAAACCAGCCCTCATATTTGTGGCATCACGGCGCCAAACGCGATTAACTGCAATGGCCTTTGTTTCGCAACTCGTTACCGACGATGACCCACGACAGTGGCTTCACATGGATATGGAAGAGGTTTTCACTCATTCCTAAAAAGTTTAACTCGTAACTCAATGATTACTATTCTAATAAAACTTTATCGGCTAAATCTTACAGTACGAGATAAACATCGGGTCTTTTGGGAAAGACATTAGCTGTTCAACAACATTATGAATGAATTTGTAACTTTCAGCAAATTAATATTTTTGACGATACTGTTCATCATATTGGTAAGAGAAGTACTTTCAAAAAAAACATTTGTTCATATTATCGATAAATGGTGAAAAATTACCCAAGGTATAAAAAAATAAGGTGTAAAACCACTACCTCCTGAAAAATTTCAAATTTCTGAAATATCAGAATTTTCTTTACTAGTTTGAACATCTTGACACATCATTTTATTACAGCTTGAACAATTGCTTATAACACTAAAAGATGAAAATTTGAAATTAACGCTACCGTTCGGCGTAGGGATGCATCATGCCGGTTTGCAGCAGCACGAAAGAAACATTGTTGAACGGGTATTTTAACCTTCATTTTTCCATTAAAATTTGTTTATATTGATTTTTCAACAATAAAAGATGAAGGAATGTTCGCTTTTTTCATCATTTCCCTGTGATAAATTTGCGTTGTGAAGATGCTTTGCAATCGAATGATTTTATAGCTGAAATCAGAGACGTGCTAACTTCTGTTTAGTCGGAGTTTCCATTACGGAAAAAAATAAATTCTTCATGACATTACGATCTTCATCATGTTATGTTCAGTGAAACTTTAGAGGAAACAAAAATGAAGTTTACCTCTTTTATGATTTGTTTCTACGTTGAAATAATTTCCAGCTTTTTGCGGAAAAAAAAATTCAAGTTATGGTGGCTACAGCAACCTTAGCATGGGGTATTAATATGCCAGCACACTTGGTGATTATTAAAGGAACCGAATATTATGATGGGAAAACTCACAAATATATTGATTTCCCGGTTACTGGTATAAACTTTTATCTCTTTAACACACTCTTTCTGTAAATCATCTTGTTTTAAAATAAGCTTTATTTCTGATATAGGCGACTGTAATCAACTAAATTGTTTACAGTGATGTGTATGGAAGTTTTAATATATAGTTTCTCTTTCTGATGAACCGAAAATAAAAGCGTTTATGATATTGAGGAGGAGGATGTATACAAAGAATTCAAATTTCAAAGTTATTGAAACTAAACCTTTAGATGTTTTGCAAATGATAGGCCGTGCTGGTCGACCACAGTTCGATGATTCTGCTGTTGCTGTTATTTATGTTCAGGATATTAAGAAGAATTTCTATAAGCGTTTCCTCTACGAACCTTTTCCGGTCGAGTCAAGGTAAATCTTTGAAATATCCTTTTTTTTATCATTATCCCGCTAAGATAGCTTACTTTGCCTTTTCAGAAAAGCGTGGGTCATTGATTTAATGCGCACATTCTTATTTCCATCGTTCCTGAAAATATGTTCAGTTATTTAGCATTTGTTTCTCTGCATAGGCATAAGTTTTGTTTCCAATTCGAATACATTAAACGCTCTACGTCAGACTTTCACAGCTGTCAATGATTCTATGTATAAAAGGTGTGCAGAGGAAATTCTTTATCATTTCAGTTTGCTCACAGCATTGCCAAATCATGTGAATGCAGAAATTTACGCCGGAACGATTACCTCGGAGCAGCATGTAATGGAATACATTGCTAACACATACCTTTACCGTCGTCTTTTTGCAAATCCAAGGTAAGAATTCGCATGAGTTAATTTCATAATAACGAAGCTTTTTCTATTTTTGACCGATTATATTAGGTTTGGATTCACTTCCAGGAAATTATAAATTGTTCATAAGCATATTATTTACATGAGTTTCACCTGAGCTTAGATGGATAACAAAATTTATATTATTTTTATTGTTTATAGTTATTATGGTATTGTGGATACGACACCGGAAGCTTTGACACAGTTTCTTGTGGACGTAGTTGATAACTGTATTGAAGAACTTGTGCTTTCTGGTTGTATCACCATTCATGAAGTGCGTTTATTTCATGACATTCTTTTTTGAGCGCTGAAAATTTTTTTTTTTTTTTAATGTAAAAAAATGCTCACTTATTGAATATCACGAAAAGTCTTCATTTTTCGAATATAATTTCGTTAAGAAATTAAATTAACACTTCACTACTTTTACGCAGTAAACTGATATATTGTGCAAAGATTCTGGAATAATTTTCATGAAGGTGATGTTTTGAATTGTGTTACTATTGATTTTCACGGCTTAAATTAGTTTTATATATTTAATTTCAGGAAGAACAATCACTTATCTCAGCACCACTTGGAACTATTGCAAGCGTTTATTATTTGAATCATAAAACTGTGCGATTTTTTGCCAGCTCTCTTACGCCCACAGCAACAGTGGAGGAACTCATGAAAGTTTTAGCAGTACGTTCCAGCTCTTTGATTTTGCCTTTGTATCAACTACTGGAGTTTTTGCTACCATGAAGTGAAAGATTGCGCTCTATACTAGTTCCAGAATACTTCAGAAACACTTTTTTATGGAGCCGTAGGCAATTCTTCAAAGAGTTCTGTTGTAAGAATTACGTTCGCAGGACGTTGTCTTTAACTGTTCGAAAAGATTGCGAAAAACTATTTCAGGATTGCCCAGAATACGATGAAATACCTGTTCGACATAATGAAGACCAAATTAATGGGTTAGTTTTCTTTCACTAATTGTTACTGCCTATAATCTTCACTCCTTTCAGTTTATGCTGCATAATTTTACATAAATTCAAAAACATACTTTGACTAAGCTGTATTTATGTCTTTTAGTTTACTTGTTTGATCAACCCCAGTAATTTCAGGCATCTCCAACAAATCATGCCACTTAAATTGCCAGCTGATGCTGCTATGGATTCTTCGCATACAAAAGCCTTTCTTTTGTTGGAAGCACATTTAAGTCGCATAAAGCTGATGACAGATTACACCACTGATCAACGTTCAATGCTAGATCAGTGTTTCCGGATTTTAAATGTAATGATTTTTTGAAGCTCATTAAATTATGCTGAGATTATGATTTATGATAAATTAGGCATTAAATGACTTTCTGAGGCTCATTAAATTGGGCATCAAGTTATGAAGTAAAACGAATATTTAAGCAAAAAGCGGTGTTTAGGGATCATATCATATTTATCACCAACTTATGAGATGTATATTTATTAGGAAATAACGTGAAAATATTACGAAGTTTTAGGGTATTTTTTATCTCTAGGCAATGTTGGACATAAGTCTCTTACGTAAATGGCTCTCAACTGCTCTTGCCATTGTTATTTTGATGCAAATGATCGCTCAAGCTGCTTGGCATACAGATCATCCCCTCATGGTTGTACCTCATTTCAGTGAAGAAGTTATTGAGAGAGTTGGGTAAGTACAAAGTCTAAAATTTCGGTAAATTACTTACCTAATTTTCAGTGTATAAGTCCATCCCATCATTGTATACTCTCGACTAACTCTGAAATTATCAAACCTTGATTTTTAGGCTACTGATAGCAAAAATATTAGCAGTACGAAAATATTGGCAGGCGAAAATAATCTCTTGTCACATGTTTTATTACATAGTTGTTGTTTTGGGAGGATTTCTGATTCCATTTATATAAAGCAAAAGTATTTTTAGCCATTTGTTTGTGCAGTATTTTTTAATGGATTTGTTTCTTTGTTGATTGTAGGGCTGATTCAACGATACCTATGCTGAAAAATCATTTTGGTCTTGATAAAGCGAATATCGAGCAAGCTAGAAAAAAAGCCATCAAAAAACTTCTGGAACTGACAGTTATTGATGAACGCCAAGCAACAGAGGTTTTTGCTTGTTTTGATATCATTTATCTGTATAATTCCTTCTTCTCTTTGTTTTTTATTTTCAATTTTTTAAACCTTCAGTTATTAGATGCTATTAAAGAGAAGAGCGTAAAGGTACACAGGAAACTGTATCTTGGAAAAAGAATTGATCAACAGCCGGACCAATATACCTCTCTAATCATTAATCATTAAGCCTAAAATTCCTGACGGGTTTTTAGGGTGATGTTTGCTCTATATGGTGTGCTTAAAACCTTCATTGTCTTTAGCTCATTTCTCTCTGTCATTTATATTCACTTTTAGTTACAATTTTCTGTAGACATCGTGTTATATACTTTCTTGCTGTTTGTTATTCATCTCTTTCGTTAACCATATTGAATTTGTGTACTTGTAGACGTTATAATTTCAGGCTATTGACGGTCTTTTGAAATGGCCAATATTACAACCGAGGAACTGTGTCTTATGTGGTGCAAATCAGATTTTCGAAATTGATTACTTGCAAGATGAACGATGGCCAAAGTATATAAATGTTGAGTCGGATACGTTATACCGTATATTATTCACTGTTGAGTTGGTTGGGCCACATAAGGTATGTTCATGCTTGCAGTCAGATATCAAAATTTAAAAGGATGCGTCTTTCTGCTTAGATATTTTTTATTTTCAACATTTTTTTTGTGATGAAGATTTCCGTTTCGATCAGGAAAATTGAGTAGCTGAGTAAAATAGTGTATATTTTAGTTTGAGACAAAAGCTTTTTGCCCACGTTTCCATAAAGAAAAAACTGCCGGCTGGATTGTGATCATCGGTGAAAAGGATACAGATGTAGTACTGTGCTGTAAAAAGTTATCACCGGTTACCGGTTCTAAGCAGCTCACTGTACCCTTTAAGATGCCTAAACGATTGTAAGTTTTCGTATTTTAGAAATTTAAAAAAAACGAAATTTTTGAAAATTGTACATTTCAAATAAATTGAGAAGCAAAAATGTAGGGTTCAGTTTTCCAGTGAATTAATGAGAGATTTTCTATCTTAAAATTTCTGATTATTTTGCTTAAGAAATGAAATTTTAATGTTTTTGAATTACGTCATCTCTTGCTTAGCTTATCGTTTAATACAAAGGCTTGTGGTGCATTATCTATAATGTTTATTGTACGTTATAGGCATCGGCAGGTAGAAGTGTCACACTGAGCAGAAATGTCACCAGTGAGAGATGAGACAGTTTGAGTCAGCTAGGTAAAGGTGGTTTGGATAGGTCACTTTTAATTTATGTATGCTGAATAGTTTATTTACTCTCCGCATTCCAGAGGTCGACATATTTTTACAATTTTCGTAATGTCCGATTCTTACATTGGCATCGATCAGGAATATAAACTTCATTGTGAAATTGTTGAAAAGAAAGTATCGGAAAATTCAAATAACGATGAAGATTTTTGAGGTCGTAGCACTGATAATAATATGATCGTACAGATTACTTTGCTGTTTTTTATTCCGACAAGTAACTTATCAGTTTACTATAATCACTCTATTGTATCAATTAGACCCATTTCCCGCTGTGTCTTTCATTCTTCACTCGCTCTGTTGCTAATTCTTGTAATTGTCGCAAATTTTTGGAAAAGTTTGCAGGGCTCTATACCTATTTTTGAATTTTCGATCAAGTAATTCATGTTTCCTTTTTTGAAGACATATTTCAAACAACGTTTTAAGAGGCGTATTTCAAACATAACTGAAAATTACAATGTAGGAGTGGGAGTCATGTTTCTTATTTCCTAAACATATTGTGACAATTGACAATTTTAAAATGAAGCGAAGAACACTGGCGTGTGATCTCCAAAATGATAGAAAGCCCTTGTCGTTTTTTTATTCAATATCGCGCAATTCATCAGTGCTAAACATTACATCGCTATTGGTTCTGTTACTTTATTCGTATATGTTTCGTCTTTCCTTCTCGAACTGTTGTCAAGTTCTGATAAGTCTGTGTCTTTATTTAATACTACTCGATTACTGTATTTATAAGATATTACGGACGCCACCGAAATACAAAAAATAATATCCGCTATTTTCAGTCATAAAAATAGAGCAACTTTGGATATTTGCGCTAGTTTTCCTTTCTTTTCAATAACTGATTGATTATAAATTTGTTCATTTAGCCATAAATTACACAAATTTGTTGGTATATAAGAAACTATGGATGATTGTTTCGAGTTATTGGCGTACTTGAATAACTGTTCCATTAACTGATCTACTTCACAGGGTAAATGAGCAAAATTTTATAATAAAAACAGGACAGCCTTGATCATTTGGTTTTAAAATGATGTTGAACTTTTCATGTGACGAAATATGGTCTTTCACATGTCTCAATGTTAACGGTGCATTTAATTGTCGGAAGTTATTTCTGTGTGATTAAAATGTTTTCATCCAATCATTTTGCAATTAGTTTGAAGAAACTTGTTCCTGCGCTCTTCATTCTATTTCAAACACTTTATTTGATGTTTTCGAAATGTTTGAAAATTAAGGTAGTGTTAGTTGGTAATTCTTGTAATGTTAACGATAACACTTTCTCAAGGACTTCTAGTATTCGGCTTATCGGAAGAGAAGGTTAAAGTTTAAACGAAGTAATGGAATGTGGCTTTAAAACATAGTGAATGTCTGACCAACCTCCAATTATATTCCTATATGTGATGATACAATGAGTTGATCTTTGAGCTTTAAGTATATCAAATTTATTTCCTTTCATTCTTATCATTTTTTTTCTTCTTTTTGAAAATGAAGGAGGAGGAAGTGTAGTGAGCATGTATTAAACCCCCTTACGCTAGTAATAAGCTTAATAAGCTCAAATTTTTAATTATTTTAACATAGAAGACTTTATTATAAGGGAAAGGCGTTTGCGTGTGATTTGTTCGTAGAGGACGCATTGAATTACGATGTTGGTTCTGTAGAAAAGGTAAATTTCCAGGAAATTCAATAACGCTTATCAAAGTCAACAATGGGTAAAATAGATATTCAGCAATTAAAAGATGTGGCGAATCATCTGCGTATTGATTCGATCAAAATGACTTGTGCTGCTAAATCAGGTCATCCAACAAGCTCATGTTCAGCTGCGGAAATTATTGCAACTCTTTTCTTCAATGAAATGAAATTTGACAAAACATTCCCGAAAAATCCATCTTCTGATCGTTTCGTTTTATCTAAGGTTTAATTTTTTTCAATCTATTTTTTTATGATATTGTAAAAAGTAAACAGTAATTATTTACGATCTAGACTTGTCCTTACAGTATATGTAGAATTTGAGATTTGATCTTAAATCATGGTATTGGAATAGTACTTTTAAGGGTCATGCATGCCCCGTGTTATATGCTGCATGGCATCAAGCAGGACATATATCAACTGCTGACATGATGAATATACGGAAGATAACCTGTGATCTGGAAGGCCATCCAACACCACGGCTAGATTTTATCGATGTTGCCACTGGTTCTCTCGGACAAGGCCTCTCATGCGCTGCTGGAATGGCTTATGCTGGAAAATATATTGATGAGGTATATTTCATGAATCAAGGTCATGCTTATGTTTAGAAATAAAACTTTTATCATCTGGCCAACTATAGCTGAGGATAGATCTGTGACCGCATAACGTCGAATAGTAGCTATTTTAGTTTTACTAACACTTTCACAAACCTGAATATCTCCTGTTATCCAAGTTCTAAACTGTTTTATAGAGTATAGATCAAGTGATCGAATCATTTATAAAATTTTATTTCGTTTCTTAAAAAAGTCTATCTAATTTAGGCAAGTTATCGTGTGTATTGTTTGTTGGGCGATGGTGAATGTGCAGAAGGTTCAGTGTGGGAAGCAACAGGTATCCTTTATTGTTAAATTTCAATTCACTTTGATATCTAGTTGGAAAATCGATATATCACATGGTGTTTGGTAGCGATGAGCAGCCAGAAGTTGCTAAATAAATCACATAAGCATATGAATATTTGACGTTCCAGCATTTGCATCATATTACAAATTGGACAATTTGGTTGCAATCGTGGATATGAACCGTCTGGGACAAACACAACAGACAATGCTGGGACATGACGCTGACACCTTGGCAAAACGCTTTGAATCGTTTGGATGCCACACAGTCATTGTTGATGGCAGTAATGTTGTGGAACTATTGAATGCTTATAACATTGCACGGTTAGTAACCCATTAAAAAAGAAAAAATGATAAGGGAAAGATATTCATCTTTATTTTTGTATAATTTTTATTTTAGCCTTGCAAAATTTGCAAAATCAGGTTTTTATTTCATTTTGTGATAGAAAACAGGATGAAGATGTGACCAAATTTATTTCGAAATTTCTTAGCGACCTCAAAAGACCATGTATTATGCTGAGCGGCTAAAGCTATCACTGCAGCAGTAATTCAATGGAAAGTTTAGAAGAATTATTGATACTTGGGACTAAACTAAAATTGAAATAGGATTCAGTCCAGTATTTTTTAATTTATTCAGTCAGACAAAAGGCAGGCCAACAGCCATCGTTGCAAAAACACTGAAAGGAAAAGGCATTATTGGGATCGAAGATGAAGTAAGTTTTTCCTGTTACACAACTCTTAGATATGTTTTGGTGACTGAGCAGTTTGTGTTAATGCATTAATTGGAGAAGTTGAATTCCAATTAATTATTTCAACCAATTAAAAAATGACCTTTCATGAAATTTAAATTTACAGGAATGATGACACCAGTTTGTTATCAGTGGTTATCCCTTATAAAATCTGGAAGGGGGTATTATGTCATCATTGACTCATTATGAAGTGTATTAGAACATAGAAAAGTTGATAATGGTGTCTTAGTGTAGAGACAAGTTCGGCAATTGGTATCACTTGTGCGGGAGGTTCGAGACCTATTAGACATTGGTCGAAATGGAAGGGATGTATAGAGCTGCAGAGCACCAGCTATGACCGGTCAGATAAATGCCGGAAATATCCTAGATTCTCTGCTAGATCAAAATGTTGGCTGTTTGACGGGATACAAACGTGTATTGTTGTGCTGTATCACGATTGGGTAGCCAAGTATAAACATATGGTACAATCTGAGTTTTGCCAGTAAGTGTATATAAATAAATTACTGGATTTTAAGCAGTGAATCTGAAGTTGGAAGTGCAGGTTACATAACTCTCCTAATGTAAGAACTTTTAATGCAACCACTTGCTCTGGTCACTCAGCAAGCATTTGCCCAAACTTGGATGACCAAAACTTTTTTCAGATTGTCTTGCACATGATATTAATATCCAATACAAGAGATCTATACCTTACCGTACGCTTAATTTAGGATAACTGGCACGGAAAAGCGGTACCCGAAAATACTATTGAAGCAATCGAACAGCTTCTTATGAACAAGGTAGATATTACTGGAACACTTGAAATAAATCTCCCGATAAATGATGCTCCAAATATCCAGCTACCAATTGGCCATATTAAAATGGCACCACCAGAATACACGATTGGCGATAAGGTATTTTGTTATATTCTCTCAGGAGTGACGCACTTTTAGCAGATTCATCGAAGTTAATTTTAATTCATCTAGCAGTAGTAACAGTAAGTCAAGATGCTAGTTATATTTAAACAAGCCTTGAAGTTTTGTTTACTGGGAAAATACAGTCTGTACCCGTCAAAACTAGACTCAGATACAAACCTTTAGTCATACAGTTATCTGTCAAAAGCGTGATTGTGAAATGGATTTATAGCTATACGCATTTTGCTTCTGTTATTTTCAGGTCAACTGCGTTTCACTGTAATTCTTCAAACTTTGATAGGGTTATAACTGCATTCTCACCGTTAGTAAAGAACTTTCCTCCACTATGTTTGAAAATTGACAAGTATTATAAGTGTGAATTGCTTGGTGATTTGCTGTGATTTGCTTTTACCTTACAATGGATGTGTTTATGTGATCTCAACCTTCCTCTGGATGTGAAGAGTATTTTTTGTCTGTTATAATTTTTTCATCAGTTTTCCCCACGATCATTTTTGTCAAATATTGACTATTTCAGGTGGCAACCCGCCAAGCCTATGGCGTAGCATTGGCAAAATTGGGTGATGCATGTCCACGAATAATTGGGTTAGATGGTGACACCAAAAACTCAACATTTAGTGAGAATTTGCTTAAAAAACATCCAAAACAGTTCGTCGAATGTTTTATTGCAGAACAAAATCTTGTTGGGGTTGCTGTTGGTTTGCAGTGTCGTGATCGTGCTATTCCATTTGCAAGGTTTGCTTCTTTAATGAGTTTTAGTTAAGGCAAGATTTAATCAATTCCAACTTTTATACTTTTTAAATTGTTTTATTTGAAGAACAAATTGACTGTTTTTAAAGCGCAATTTAAGAGCGGTCTAAAATCACCGTAACCATTCACAGAGCAAGTATATCACTCAATGGTAGCATAATTCATGTGAATGGAATGTGAATACGAAACGTTAGCATGCCTTTCAATCCTTCCATGGTCATGCGTTAATGTTTACATTTTGGTTGCTTAGCTAAATTTAAAAAAAAAAAGAAAAAAAAACTGATGTACGTTCGAGAGCAAAACTTTTTACATATTTCCTACGCTATCAGAACTAAAAATTTTCACTATATACTGTTGGATTATTCAAATTTCAACACTATTGTAGTGTGTAATGTTGTGTTATATGTACATATACGCAACCGCTCATATAGCGTTTGTTTAAAGGGACTATTGTAAGTTTATGGTGTGCAATCTTATATTTTCTATGGCATATAACTGTTAATTTGGTAGTATTAACAAGAAGATATTGAAGATTACCAAGCTCTTAGAACTTTATTTACAAGTTGATATCGATTCATTTTTGTTTTCTAACCCACATATCATACGGAACTAATCTTTCCTGCTATTGATCATTTCTAAGAGAACTTTTTTTTTCCATCATAAGTTTATCAGATTTCATTGAGATGAAGTATTTGTTAATATGGGTTTAATGGAGATTGCATTTATAGTCTGATTTTATCATTAATACTGCATGCAATTTAAGTTTCGAAAAGAACATCAAGCAAATTTTTTTTCTTTTTTTTGTAAAGGAAACTAGAACTGAGTAGACATTTTCAAGAAGAAGTTTTCCGATACATTTAATGCTACTGCATTGATAACCGAAAAGTTTTCGTATCATGTGGAATTTACTAATAAAAGACATTTTTCACTGAGTATAGATAGAGATAATAAATCGATGGAAATTTTTTCCTCTTTTGTAATTTTAACTGATTTTTGAATTAACATCCGAGTTTCAAATGTAGTATGATCTGTTGTTTGTGATTGTGGTGTACTCACGGCAGTTTTCGAAGTATCAATAATTTTGAAGTTCCTTGAGTTATAGCACATTCGCTGCGTTCTTCACACGTGCTGCTGATCAACTTCGTATGGCTGCGGTATCATTCGCAAACATAAAATGTGCTGGTTCACATGTTGGTGTTTCTATTGGTGAAGACGGTCCATCGCAGATGGGTCTGGAAGATATCGCACTTTTTCGGTACGTTCATTTCAAACCAAATTCTTTGCTCATATCTTTATAAAATTTGTCTGTTATATTACTAAATTTAGAACTATTCCTGGATCCATCGTGTTCTATCCAACCGACGCAGTAGCGGCAGAACGTGCAACGGAATTAGCAGCTAATACTCGTGGTATTGCATTTATACGTACTGGACGTCCTGCATGTCCAGTTATCTATAGCAACGATGAAAAGTTTGAAATTGGAAAAGGAAAGGTGGGTACTTATTGTCTTTCTAGCCATTCAAATGAGCTTTTGGATCTTTTTTTTTGAACTTGTTATATTTAATTGACCTGATTTTTTTCGATAAACAGCACTTAGCATGCATTGTTCTCCTCCGCTCTGCATATTTATCCAGAACATATCCATTGTCTTAGTTTTATTAAGTGGAGTGTCTTCTTTCATTCTTTCGTACAATTTACAGTTCATTCCAGATCGTTCATAACTCAAGCAAGCCAAAAGTTTTGATAATTGGTGCAGGTGTTACGCTTTATGAAGCAAAAAAAGCAGCAGATAAGTTGCAGTCAGAAAATGTGGAAGTAATTGTAATGGATCCATTTACAATTAAGCCGCTTGATAAAGATTTGATTGTAAAATCGGCCAGAAGAGCAGAGAATCGTATCATCACTGTGGAGGATCATTATCAAGCTGGAGGTAGCATTGTTTAGTGATTGAAATATTAAGTTGAGAAAGTCGTGCTTTTAATCGTTCATTATATATCTTTATAATAAAAAACAACTTTCTCTTCTTGCTTTTCTGGCCTTTTTCTACCAGAATTTGTAGAATCACCTAATCAATCATTCACTGCTTACCTCTTGGTGGTGACTGGACTGCAAATGCATAGTCTCGTCCTGTAATTCCAAGGCAAATGTCTGGTAAAGTTTTGTCAGAGACATTAATAAATCCCTCTTTATTAGATTTACTAAAAATTTCAGGCATTGGTGAGGCCGTATGCCAGGCTGTTTCCGACCAGAAGAATATTCATGTTCGTTCACTGTTCGTTCTTGATGTTCCACACTCTGGACCACCGGACGTTCTGCTTGAAAAATACGGAATTTCAGCGAGATGTATTATCGATGCTGTGCAGCAATTCATTCATTTACCAAATTAAGTGATTTTACACTTAATTTCAAATTTTCAAATTGATTCCAGTTTTTTCAATTTGAAATCAAATTTTCTCGGGAAAATG